AAAATATATATATTACAATGCATCTTTACTTATTCAATTGTGTTTTTGTTTAATTTAGTATGGAAGGACTAGTTATGAGACAATTCAACATCTATTTGGCAGAGCGATTACCGCTATCGACAAAGACATCATAATTCCTATTATCCATATCTTGCTTGATTGATGTGTTTCTTTACCGCATATGATATTAAATGTTAAATGTAGTTAACCATTTAACATTATCAAGGTTGAAAAGTAAACTTTCAATCCAAATCAATTAATAAAATTCATAAATTTTTATTTTATTAAAATATTATACATATCTTGAACCAGGGTATACTCAAACTAAAATGCAACAAATCAATTAAGAGTTCTCTGCTCGATTAGGCTCCATGCCTGTAAATGTAATGTGATCATCAATACTAGGCTCCCCGACTAAAAATATAATCATAACAATGCAGAACTCCCCCTTGTAAATAAATCATGGTACATGTTGCGACTTCGGCAAGTGCACTGGTCGTACAAGTAATAGAGTGGTAAAAGAAAGGTTGTCGATCCCACGAGGATTGATTTATCAAGCAATAATTTATTTATATAATTAAAGTTGGATCGATCTTGGAAGTCCTTGAGAATATATTTTGAATTAATAAAACAGAATTTAAAAATTATTTTTGATTTTCAAGATTAAAAACCAAGAACGATAAAAAAATGAAAGAACACAAATAAGAACGATTTAAACTCAATTAAAGACAAGCGTAGTTAGGCATTTGATTTCCCCAACGTTTTCCTAACAAGTCTACCCTTTCTTGCAATCAACATCCAAGATTAAGTTATTAACGATTCTTTCTAAAATTGATTAAATCACAATCCCTTAGTAATTTAATCCTTTACTTTATTCAAAAGCCTAATCCCTTAGTGCCTTTTTCCTAGTGTAAGCATTAACGCAAGAATCATAAAGTTATAGAATTTGTAAGCCTATGCCTAGATCATACAAACTCTAGCAATTAATCAATCGGAATCAAGACACCAACATCCCTATTGTCATGCAAGATTAATGTGTTTATCTATGAGTGATCAGTTCATAAACAAAGCTAGTCATGGGGAAACAGATTAATTGCATACCTCAAGTTGTGAATATAAATTACAAGAAAGATTCAACAGCATTCAGGAATCCATTGGTTCCATCTCGCCCTAACTACAGAAAAAGAATGTTTATTTTACAGTACAATATTTCTGGTTGGAATAAAATGATCGATCAATTGATTGTATATGCAAAAAAGAAGCTCTACATTATTCAGGATGTAGATAAAAGGAATTATAATGTCTATGCATCTTGTGGTAGTTGTTTTGCCAAATAGATGTAGAATTCCCCCTAGCTGCGATGGTAAAGTCGCATTTGTCTCTTGATTGATTCTAGGGTCAAAGTTTCGCCATCATTAATCTTGACAGTACCTAGTTGTGGATAACAAAAACATTCCGACAACGTAACTTTCCTCATTTCCTGCTTCCTTTCCCGTTCCATATATCTTGGTGTTGAAGTACAAAAAGTCCTTGCATCCAAAATTAATCAAAAATAAAATAAAATTAGAAGTGAAGACACAATACAATATATGTCTTCCGACAATTGCATGGATTATTCAGCAATTATTACTTTAATACAAATCAAGCAAACAAAATTTAAAAAATAATCTATCATGAGAATGATGGCGAATATTTAAATTCACTTGTCCATAAAAAGTTGCCTTAACAACACTAGTGTGTATACGAGCAGTGCCGTAGATGAGATAACCATCTTTTTGGACATGAGGGGAGTTGCTATCACCATTTTTTTGGAATAGTATATTCAACTTGTAACAAATTGAAAACTATTTGTACTCATATAATCCCAACAAATTAATTAATTTTGTAATTCAATTGACATTGAAAAGTGTAGTTAAAAATTAAGTGTATCTTCGTAAGTTATTTACCTTGCACTTGTGGATTGTTTTGGAGCCATTCAACATGACCTTATCGGTGGAATCAAGCATATAAACCTTAAGAGGGACTTGGAATTTGTCCTAATCTATCCACCTTATTTTGTTTCTTAGGGATAGCCTTCTAGTAGGGGCTTCAAATCCCTCTCTCCATTTGCATTGTAACTTGTTATGGCAACAAAAGATTCCTCCCTTATAATCCTAGCTTAATTGTTTGCCATCAACACCCTTTGTGGTACTAAAGATATCCTTTGTGATATTCATAAGGTCACATCTGCATTCTGAACAACTTTTTCTATCTTGTACGCCACGTGTATCAATGGCCATGATATTGAAGAACCATTTCTCTTCAAAACCATTAAGAATTCCTTCTGGGTTACCTACTAGCAAAAAGATATGGAATGTTTGAGGTTGTTCCTTGTGATTCATTTCCCAAGCCCCAATAATGTGGCAGATTACTACCTTGGCATGTGCCTTCGTTTCTAATGAAAATGGATCTTTCAAAAACACTCTTAGTTGTTTTTGGATTTTCAAAGTATCTAAAGCAAACCAATGATGGATATAAGTTTCGTACAAAGGTACACATTTCCCTTCTTCATCAATTAGTTCAGCATCAGAACTGTTGATCCCAACATGACCTCGTAGAAAATCAATATCTGTCATTGATGTGTCTTTTGGGATCTCATAATACGACTCTGACTTTTTTTAGACTCATTAATTAACATATTAGTTTTCTTCAATGATGTTTGGAGTAGAGTTTCGGGATCCACACAGGAGTATCCTGTGCTCGATAGAAACACTAGTATTGAAGAGGAAAGCATCAACGCTTTAAACATAAACATCTTGTTCACTTGTACATACGTAAACCATTAATAATTATCACATATTTTTTTTTTGTTTCCAATTATCACAAATTATATTTACGAATAAATTTTGTATTCTAATGTTATTTTTTCATGTAACCTTATAATAAACAATTCAAGATTAAAAAACAAATATGCTAAAAAATTGGATGACAAGAATTGCATATAAGACGAGGGAATGACCATGTTAGAGATTTGGCCTTTGCCGAAAGTCCAAGCAATTTTTGAAATTTTAAAATAATGGTTGGAGATAAAATATTTGTGGATAGATATGTATTTATTTATAGTAGAAATTGGAAATATCATATCTAGCGTAACTTGATGCCAATTCAACATAAACTTGATTTTACAGGCAAGGGGTTTGCGACTCTGCAAGCCGTTATGCAACTCTTGATAGTTATTTATAGGAGAGGGACAACAACTAGAAGATTATTGAGTGTTTATCTCAACAAAAATCATAAATATATGTCATATTTTTTTTTTTACCTTTTCTTTTGTTGTTGTTCCTGTTAGAGTTCTAACAAAAAACTATAAAGTCATATGAAGGGAACTTGGAATTTGTCCCAATCAACCCACCTTATTTTGTATCTTAGGGAAAGCCTTCTAGTTGTGGCTTGAAATCCCTCTCTCAATTTGCACTGTAACTTGTTATGGCCTCAAAAGATACCTCCCTTATATTCTGGGTTTAATGGTTTGCCATCAACACCCTTTGTGGTACTAAAGAAATCCTTTGTGATATTCATAAGGTCACATCTGCATTCGGAACAACCTTTTCTATATTTTACGCCACGTGTTTCAATGGCCATGATGTTGAAGAACCATTTCTCTTCAAACCCATTAAGAATTCTTGCTGGGTTACCTACTAGCAAAAGGATATGGAATGTTTGAGGTTGTTCCTTGTGATTCACTTCCCAAGCCCCAATAATGTGGAAGATTACTACCTTGGCATGTGCCTTGGTTTCTAATGAAAGTAGATCTTTCAAAAACACTCTTAGTTGATTTTGAGTTTTTAAAGTATCTTAAAGCAAACCAATGATGAGGTAAGTTTCATACAAAGGTACATGATTCCCTTCTTCGTCAATTAGTTCAACATCGAAACTGTCGATACCAACATGGCCTGGTCGAAAATCAATACCTGTCATTGCTGTCTCCACAACTTATCCTGGTCCCATTTCAAACTTTTCAGACACAAAAGTGGCTGACATGATGTGTCTTTTGGTATCCTCATAGTATGACTCTATGACTTTTTTTAGACTCATTAATTAACATATTAGTATTCTTCGAAGATGTCTTGAGAAGAGTTTCGGGATCCACATAGGAGTATCCCGTGCTCGATAGAAACACTAGTATTGAAGAGGAAAGCTTCAACACTTTAAACATAAACCTCATGTTCACTTGTACATACGTAAACCATTAATAATTATCACATATATTTTTTTGGTATCCAATTATCACATATTTTATTTACAAATAAAGTTTATATTCTAATGTTATTTTTGTTGAGGAATCCAAGTGTGAATGATTGAGTGAAAAAATCTCACATTGGTTAAGAATGGACTAAGTGAACACCATATAAGTGGAAGGACCCATGCACCTAATGCCTTAAGGTTTTGGGTTTGATTGTGGTGTTCCGAGCCCACTTAATGTTGCTGCTCACTTGGCCCATCGTTGGTGGTCTCTCTCCGCCCTGAGCTTCTCGTGCACGGCCCAACAATTGGTATCAGAGCTAATGGTCGAGTAAGAATATACTAAATGAGCACCATATAAATGGAAAAACCCATGCACCTAATGTTTTATAGTTTTGGGTTAGATTGTGGTTTTCCGAGCTCACTTAAGGTTGCTGCTCACTTGGCTCATGGCTGGCGGTCTCTCCAAGCCATGAGCTCCCCGCGCACGGCCCAACAATTTTTTCATGTAACCTTATAATAAACAATTCAAGATTCAAACGTAAATATGCTAAAAAATTGGATGACAAGAATTGCATAGAAGACGAGGGTAGATATGGAGGTCCAAGCAATTAGAAATGGAGTTATTTATTGTAGAAATTGGCAATGTCATTTCTAGCGTAACTTGATGCAAATTCAACATAAACTTGATTTTACAGGTCCCGGGCATGCGACTCTGCAAGCCGTTATGCAACTCTCGATAGTTAATTATCGGAGGAACAAAAACTTGATGACAATTGAGTGTTTATCTCAACAAAAATCATCTGTATATGTTAGATTTTTTTTTTTTTTTTAGTTGTTGCTTTGAGAGGTTCTAACAAAAAATTATAAAATCATATGAAGGGAAATGTTATCCCATATAAATAATAGATTCATTTTTTCTATCGTCAATATAAATAATTTATCTACATTTAGTTTAAAATGACGTCGTTTTGAGGCAGAAATTAAGGTATTTTTGTAATTTAATTTATTTCAGGAGTAAAATAGTCTTTTTTATTATAATTTTTTTAATTTTATAATACAAAACAATGTCGTATTTGGAGTGAATATAGATAACTTATCTACATTTATTGTAAAAATATTAAAACCATAAATAATTCAATGACAGAGCTACGACCTGGGAGAGGCAGAGAAAAATAATGCCAAATTTTTTAGATCTTTCTGTTTTTAGTGAGTTTCAACACACCAAATAAATTTTCGCTGATAATTTCAACACACCAAATATATTTTCGCTGATAATTTCAACATTTTCTTTTTCTATTTCTTTTTTCCTTTCAACAAATTCACAGATCTTTTCTCGAACTTCTTACCTAGACAATATAAGCATCCAGTTAAATAATTTTTTTTATACAGCTAAAATTTAGATTTAAAATATTTTTTTACCAAATATTTTGTTGAACTTTTTCAAAACAACTTCACTAGTTGGGTTTCAAAATTTTTGGTAAAATCGATTCAAATTTAAAAATCAAAATAATATTCATGTATTCGAAAAAAAAAAAGATTGATTTATATTTCCTCTTTTGGATTTTCCTCACCTATCACATCTAAGGATTGCGTTCAATATGGTTAGAGCTTATTTATGTGTTTTCTATCTCATAGCAAACAAAACTTTCCTAACAAGGGAATCTGTTGTATATATATGAATTGTCAAATAATTGCCCCTTAGCCAAATTATGGTAACTGCATGCACCTGTTATATCTTTGCAAAGTTTCTCTATCCTCTACCCAAATTATGTTTATGCCCTTTACTCATTAAATTAAAATGAAAACTAACTATATACTAAGGACACATGTTGGTCTTATATTTACCCACTTTATTTTTGGAAGGGGTTTAAAACTTTAATCCCGGAATCCGCTCCGAATTGAACTAGCCGCCAAATGATGAACCAATTGAAATATCTCCAAAACATAAAATAAAAAAGCCCTTCATAATTTAATGAAAACAATCATAATGCGTGCACATAATAAGGCAATAGGTTTCATACTTGTTATGTAGCACCGATACCGACACATGACACGATACGACACGACACCCTGACACGTTAATTCTAAAATATGTTAGATTTCGACACGTTAGGACACGTTTTGATATTAAATAATATTTTTAATTTATGTAGTGTATAATATATTTAATATTCAATAATTTAACAAAAAAAAGAAACGAAACTTATAATATTCATATATTTTGCAAAAAAACATAATATATCCTAAATATTTATATTAAATTCAATAAAATGATAATCATAATCATATGAATCTAATAGTTTGAATTAAAAACTCAACGCAACGCAACCTTTGAACTTTTTTTAAAATTTCTATAACGCCTGTTGGAGTGTCGGGGAGTGTCGGAGTGTCAGAGAGTGTGGGAAGCAGTGTTGTTAAACCCGACCCGGGCATCGACCCGGTCGGGATACTGGGTCACTGGTCGGACCGGTGGGTCACTGGTCGGACCGGTTGCCCGGATATATATAGATATATAAAAATATATATAAATACGAATATATAAATTCAATTTTATCTTCCGTATCTAAAACAAATTAAACAAGGTTCACTAAATAAGTTAGAAAAATGAAGCATAAATAAATAAAAGTGCATGCTATTACTATGTCAATTTAAATGGCAAAGAATCCCCATAAACATACCTCTCAATGACATTGAACTCATACTTTTCAAATTCAACTACATTAAAATGACATATGTCACATTCTCTAATTTATTATTCCACAAATTTGAAAACTAAGAGGTCATTGTAGAAGAGTATACTAGCAAATAAAATTATAAAAAGTTGTTAAAATGAGTATTACATTTTTTTTATAAGATGAAACAATTTTGGTTTTTTTTTTTTTAAATGCATGACCCGACCGGGTCACATCACCGGGTTTGGCCGGGTTTGTCTGGGTTTTGACCGGGTTTGACCGGGTCGATGCATGACCGGTCCAATGCTTAACCCGAACCGGTCTGATGACCGGTTCACCGGGTTCCGGGTCAACCCGGCCGGGTCGGGCCGGGTTTGACAACAGTGGTGGGAAGTTCGGTGCTTCGTAACATACTTGGTCTCATCATAATTCACAATTAGAAATAAAACAAACAAGAGCCATAGCAGTTCCATGCTATCAAATAGACAAAGTTTGTTCCATGTACCAATATATTAAACCATCTTTCCTAACAAATATACTTCGATGGATGTATACATTATGTCCAATAATAATACAATAATGTCTTAGACAAATCTTGTATTTCAATATAATGATTCATACATGCATGTAAGGATAAATTTGAAAATAGGACGCTTTGAGAAACATATGCGTCATTGAATTCGTAATTTCAATAGTTAATAATTACATTTATTAATGAT